TATCTATCTATCTATCTATCTATCTATCTATCTATCTATCTATCTATCTATCTATCTATCAGAACAGAACAGAACAGAACAGAACAGAATTCTTTTGTCAGAGTGCACACAGCATGACTATGTGAGACAACCCAGGAGCAATTACAGGGCACAGAGGTTTGTTATAATAAATGTAGTGGTTTTATCTCTACAAAGCATATACATGTACACGTACTAGGCAAAGGACAAACAATCAGTTAGCATGGAAGCATGCACGCACACACATACACAGAGAGAGAGAGATACGCCCCAACAGTGCCTCTCTTATAATATAGCTTCTTAAAGTGGTAGCAGTCAAATAACCCTGCTGGCTCATTACTACCACTGCATCACCATTACATCATTACAGCAGTTGGTAAGCTATTAAATCATCATTACCCTGACATCTTTTTTTGAAAAAAAATTATTATTTAAAAACAAAAAATACAAAAATCTCACTTCCATTAACAGTTATTGTGTCATTGTATATACACGTTTCTTATTTTGTGACTATATATTATTTTTATCCTTATCCTTCACCCATTCGTAGCCTGACATTTTTATTGGCTAAGTGTGATTGGACACACAAAAAATTTGTCTCTGGTGCATAAACTCTCAGTGTACATACAAGCAACAAGTGATAAATCATGATTATAATCATACAATACATTCATTATAAATCATAAGATACAATAAGTGATAGTCATAGGATACTAAATAAGCAATCAACAAATCATACTAGGATACAAAATAAAACATTTAATATAAATTGTAAGATACAAGCAACAAAGTTATAGTCATAAGAAGATAAGGAATAGGTAATAAAAAACATGAGAAGTATAACAGTAATACAGCCCTAGTAGGTAGTTTGACAGTGTTGTAGGAATTAGTTATTTAGCAGTGTGATGGCATGGGGGAAAATTGTCCTTGTGTCTAGTTGTTTTGGCATGCAATGCCTTGTCGTGTCATCTTGATGGAAGAAGTTGAAACAATTTATGTCCAGGATGTAAGGGGTCTGTAGATACTTTCACAGCCCTCTTTACTGCTTATGCAGTATACAGGTCCCCAATGGAAGGCAGGCTGGTACCAAATGTTTTTTTCTGCAGTTCTAACTATCCGTTGAAGTCTGTGTCTGTCTTGTTTAGTTGGATAACGTTTTATTTATATACTATTGCATTTCTATATTTTGTAGGCTTTTAATTCTAATTAAATATTTCATTTCAGGTCGTGTGTCGTCCCCCCCCTGTCCCCCCCCCCAACGAATGCCTTCTGCATATGAAGGATTCCCTTAATTTTCAATCAATTTTCCAACACATGTGGGTGGAACCATATTAGGGAAAACTGGTTTATGTTAATATTGAACTCTATATGCTTATCAACATATCTCTTCTTTATTTCTTTATTTGAAGCATTTCTAACAGCAACCTAAAGTTTTATAAACTTCTTTTTAATTTTTACTCTAGACAAAGGTGAAAATGGGGAACCATATCAAAGGAGGAAAGGTGTTGCACATAATCAGCCAGATCTTCCTGCAGTGTCCCACACTCTCAAAGACAACATTCCTGCTCCAGCAAGCAGCAGTTGGAGGAGGATCATGCTGTTGATTTTTGCAATAACAATACACAACATTCCTGGTAAGTCCTGTTTCGCTCTTTTGGTGTCTCTAATTCTCAGACCGAAAATAACAAAGGTAGGGTTTTCATTATGGTCTTAAGGAGCATCCAAGTAATACTCTAGATGCTTTTCAGATTTGGTAAATAAGGTTAATAAAGTGACTGCTAATAGATTCAGTACAGTGAGTGATGTTGGCATTATAATCATGTCTATAATGCAGGAATGATGAATGGCCTTCTAAGTTTACTTTGAATTGAATGTAATTCTTAATGAAAAAAAAGAAGGTTTATGTAGTTGCCAGTAGCTGAGCTCAACTTAAGGGAACTTTATCTAAAGCAGGGGTCCCCAAACTTGCCAACTTTAAGACTTGTAGACTTCAATTCCCAGAATTCTGAAGTCCACAAATCTTAAAGTTGGCAAGTTTGGGACCTCTGCTCTAAAGGATGTATCATAGAGCCCACTATTCAACATTAAAAAGTATGGAAATCCCATTGTTGTGGATGCAATAAGAGATATCAGGCTCTTTGTCAGCTGGTTCAAATTTGTTGTTCTGTACAAGTACAATTCTCATAATTTACCTTATCAATATTTATTGAAATAAATGGTGTGAAGAAAAATTACAATTGAACTATTTCCCCCCAATGAACAAAAATATTGCCCATACTTTTTGATATTCATTTGATATTCTTTTTAACAGCCTTTAACCTGAATAGAGAATCTTAAAGCTCTTTGATCTCCTAAATCTTTGAAGCAACAGTTATAGGAGACATACTTTGCCTATGTCTTCCCATATGCCTTGTCAACTTCTCTGTCAAGCATAGAATTCTGAGATTTCTCCCATCAAAATACTAAATGGGGCTGAACCTCATTAGCATTTTTTCAGTTCATGTGCTTCCACTCTGGGGTACCATGTATCATTCTCTTGAAATATATTGTGATTTAAAGAAATCAGTTTGCCACTGATTTTGATTGCAGCAAAGAATCAAGTCTTCTTCAGCCAAAGTCAGATAAGTAGACAAAATAATTGTAAAGAATTTTAAATAAACAGATTGCTGAATGATTTGAACATCACATTTCCATTCATTTAAATATTTTAGTGGATTTGGCTAATTTGAAAGAGATATCACTCCTTGTTGTACACACGTGCCACCTTTGTTATGTGAACTGCATTGGCTACCAGTTGGCTTCTGGATGTCATTCAAGGTGCTGGTTGAAATCTCTAAAGCCTTCATTGCACAGGACCTGATTATTTGAAGGATTACCCCTCTCCCATTATATTTGTCTGCCCAGTACATTTGGGCAGAATGGGTGCATTCCCTTCTGTTAAATGTTGTCAACTTGTGTGACCTAAGAAGCATGCTTATTCTAACATGATCCCACTCTCTGAAACAGGGACAGTGATGGCATCCTCTTTCCTGAGATTTCAAACATCCCTTAAAACCTGCCTTTGGTTCCATGACTGGGATTAATGTGTTGACAGGCAGGTGGTTGTTGCTTTTTATAGTAGCTGTTTTAGTTTAGGTTGCCTTGTTATATTTATATTTTAAAGTTTTGTAAACACTGCATTAGATTTTGTAAGTTGCCCAGAGTCTGTTGGAGTGAGTGGCCATAACAAATTGAAATAAATAAATGTATGCCCTTTTTGAATAAAAAAAGAGAAAAAATTATAAAATAAAACTTCCCATATATAAATTGGAAAAAGTAACTTGATGCTTTTCTCAAAACCACATAACCAAGATGTACTGTATGAACCAATGTCCAAGAGGCATTTCAGAGGTGGTATTCAGCAGGTTCTGACCAGTTCTGGAGAAAATGGTAGTGAAAATTTTGAGTAGTTCGGAGAACCAGCAAATACCACCTCTGACTGGAGATTTTACAGTATCCTTCCCCTGCCCCATCAACCAAGCCATGCCCACAGAACGGGTAGTAAAAAAATTGAATCCCACCACTGGGGCATTTTCTGAGTTGAAGCTAATAAGCATGCAAGAAACTTCTCAAATCAAGTGTTACTGAGCTTTGAAATGGCATAGAAAGAGTCATAGACTTTCCCTTTCTTGAAGAAATTGCAGAAGTGAAATGACATGTTTATACCCTACTCAGTTTCTGGTGTAAAAGGTAATGAGAATCTGATGTAGCATGAAGTTAAAGCTGTAGTTTCAATCTAAGACTAGATTGCTACATGATAAGAGCAACAGGAAATTCTTTTATCTTACTTCCCTTTGGAAGGCATTCCACTGATCAAGTTATTTCAGCCATTTATTCCTTTACATGTATGTAATTGAACGTCTGTGGAAGATTTCTTGCTCTGTGTAACATAGGAAAGGAATGAGCTTACATTATACAGTGAAAATGTATTCTATCCTGACACAATAGACCATAGGAAAAAGTTTTAAAAGGTTTTGATTTAGGGTAGTGCTGTTTATAGATAAGATTACCCTATAATATAGGATTTTTTTCTGTGCTGCAGGAAGAAAGCGGTTGAAAGGAAGGTATATTGTATAAAAAGCAGATGGCAAAGAAGAAACAGCTTCTCTATTTTTGCTGTTGGCTCTGCCCTTTATTTTAGAGCTTGCAGCAATTGAAATTTCAAAAAAAAAAAGAACATATATGTCAAATTTGGTGAACAAATTATCTGTCATGATTTACTAAATTAAAAAAAATGCTCTTGATTTCTATATATTACGATTTGCAGCTTTTCTGGCACGTCAATTGGAGAATCCACATATGGGTTGACACATGCCATTCTGCCCAGAGACTGAGTCCTTAAACTTTTACCATGCTTCTCTGTCAACTGTCACTTTCCCAGTTCATGACTCAGTCTTGCCCCATAGGGACATGGCAAAAGATTGGCTCTCAAATCTTTGGGTAGAAACGCTGCATTCTTCATTCTGATATCTTGTGCTGGCAGGTTTGATTTCACAGTGCTGCGGAGGCTTTTTTCCATCTGTATCGACGCAACCATTCCCTCTAGCCGAACTTCGATTCCAGTCTCAACGCAGCAGAGGGAGTAATCTCCCAGGCGAGGGAAGCTCGCCGCTTGCCTGAGGCACCGCTAGCCCAAGCGCCACTTGTTTGAAGTGCTGCAACTGCTTAACAGCTGTTTTGGGGCTTCTTAATTGCTCCAATCTTGCGGCTTTAGCAGCTTCATTGTATTTAACTGACTGATTATCACAGGCTAGTCAGGAAGCCATTTAGGTCACCAGTGACCTTCAGTTGTCAAAATCTCCAACCAGACAGCTTATTATAATTCAGGCAGCCTCAAGAGATGTGTGGTTACAGGAGTTGGCTACCCCATCTTGCTGGTCTTGCTGCCACAGAGCCCAGCCCCACTTAGCACCATTTTAATAGGAGCAACTGCCATCCATAGATGGGCTAAAAAAGCTGTCAAAATGGCTGAACAGATCCCGTCAGCAGACAGCATGGAAGGGCAAGGAGCCTCCACATCAGCTCTCAGCAAAAAGACTATCAATATTTACATCAATATTTATAATATTTACATACAAGCCATGCCCAGACAGTTACATGACCACTAAGCCATACTCACAAATTAGAACATGCCCAGGAGCTAGTTGTTGAGAAATTTGAATCCCACCCCTGCCTCTGTGTGTTTGTGTGTATGTGTATGAGAGAGAGAGAGAGAGAGAGGTTAGAGCAAATCTCTCTCTCTCTCTCTCTCCCACTAATGTCAGCAAGCCACTGTCAGTCAAAATTCATATTAGTGGTCCCCGGGATCTAAAATTATGAGTTTGGTAGTCCCTGGGGTCCAAAAGGTTGGCGACCCCTGCTTTACAGTACAATTTACAGAGTCAGCATATTGCCCCCAACAATCTGGGTCCTCATTTTACTAACCTCAGAAGGATGGAAGGCTGAGTCAGCCTTGAATCGGTCAGGATCGAACTCCTGGTGGTACTGCATGGAGCCTGCAATACTGCATTCTAACCACTGTGCCACCACAACTCTATGTATCTATGATATTAAGTGGTGTGCAGTTTAGAACTTCTCATTGTCTGGATGCTATTTCTGTTTGTTTCATTTTGGGGAACTGGGAAATCCACAACAGGTTTCTCCCTGGAAGCTGACCTTTAATATGATCCATATTTTAGCACTTAAAATCCCAATCAGGCATCAACAGATGGGAGCAGTAATTCAACTTAATAATAATAAGCATAATATCTTCTGACTTATGTGTAAGCTACATGGCAAATTGAAAATCTGTTCATTTCACTAGAAAGGTTTCTTCAAACATATCTGGAAAAGTCTGCTTTAAAATAAAGAAAATAAGAACTAAACTTTAAGGAAAATATCAGAACTTCCAAGATAAGTTCTAATTAGGTAGAAGATCTTTAAATCTAAAAGGCAAAGACATCGTTTTGGACACAGTAAGACACAAAGATAAAAAACTTCTATAAATTGTTAGCCTATGAGTATAAGAAGATCAATATATTTACACATTAATGTCAGTTATTGTGCTCCAGAAAGAATTTGCTCTCTTGTGAGCAAAAAAATAGGACATTATAATTCTTCTACTACTTTGGCAGGTCAAAGACTTAAGCATGGAGATCAAGTCAAACTCTTGAGAAAAGCTAATTCCTAAATGCATAAAAAAAAATCTATGGGTTATATGTGTTAATATGGATATTAATGTTTCTTTTCCTGGCTTTATAGCAAGAGTTGCTAACCTTGGCAACTTCAAGATCTGTGGACTTCAACTCCCAAAATTCCCCAGACATCGGAGGGGAATTAAAACCATCATGGCTTCCTTCAGCATCTTTGTTGGATGCAGTTCCACTGTTGTACCATCAACCCTGTTCTGCTTCTGATAGTTGTTCACATTGTACTTATTTTGGCTTGGAATTGTGATAATATGGCAAAGACAAACCTGTAGAATTCTGACTGTGAAGTCGCTGTTTGTACTTATTCTCACTAATGGCATGGTGTTAATAACCTTAAGAAGTGTTTTTCCTTTTTAAAACTCAGGCACAGAATAAAACCAAGAAGCAGTTAATTTAAGGGGGCATCT